GGTTAATAATGGCTAATAATGGTTAATGATGGTTAATAATGGCTAATGATGGTTAATGATGGTTAATAATACTGGTTGGTGGTTTTAACCATCTTGAAAAATATGAAAGTCAATGGGAAGGATTATCCCATATATTATGGAAAATAGAAACTGTTCCAAACCACCAACCAGTACGAACTATGGTGCTGGAATATTTACCAACAAAACTGGGTAATTTTGTTCGGGCAAATGTTGGTAAATATCAAGCACCATGGTTCGCATATGGGATAGAAGAATCTGTTTTTTTTGCATTTACCGAGAATCGACATGGTCTAAAGGATCTCTATATTAAGTACACAATTTCCAACAGTGTTGGGGATCATCATGCGGACACTACATTGTCCCAATGGAATGTGGAAATTCAGGGAAATTCCCTTCTAAACCATGGTTTCGTTTGGGGGTGTTTAATATAGGAAAGGACTATTAATAGTTCATAGTTTCTATCAATAGTCATTGAGTCAATAGTTACTAGACTATAATAGTCGATACTATATATAGTATATGGAGGTTTCCTAACATGGGGATAACCCATGTTATCATCCATTTCAATGGTATTTCCCCTTAACCATCCAGGATTTGTGACATCGGTGACCGAGACCCTCTGTACTCAACCAACTCGCTGATCAACTCCCAAGTTTCCCCAATCAATTTGTGCCTTCAAATTTCATGGCTAAAACCGCTCAAAAAACCCATGGGTTTCTGGTCACGGTTCTATATCATCCTTATGGTATCCTCCTTATGGGTGATGATAAAAACATATAAAGACCATGCTTGAATCCCAATGTCTCCTGATTAAGCCCATACTTGTCTAAGCAATTCAGGTCAGCAGCCGAAGGCAAATCACGGAGGCTTGGAAAGAAACAAAACGACGAAAGATTCGGGTGGAGCCGTCAAACTAAGCCATATCCGTACATCTCCAGGCTTGAAGATAGATCAGCCATGAAACAATCAACCAGTTTTCATCAAAATATATGGCTCTACAAAGCTCCGATTTTTCTTGGACTTACTATAACTTACCCTTCAATAATCAAAGATAATTTGCTGACAATTCCACCATTTATAGAAAACGTTCCCAGCAATTTTCCATTTACAGTATAGGGGATTTCCCGACATTTTCCCATGATTTTCCCATATTTAGTGCAGGGTTGAGGTGAGACTTCGAAGGCCCGTCTGTCCTTGGCCTTCTTCTCCAGTGCTTTACTGGACACCCGGGTCAAAGGCCGTGATCCAGGGACCTGATACCCGCGGTCGTCACCATGGTGGTGGATGTAGGGTTTTTCACATCACAAATCACTCGGACCATTGATTTAGGGACCGCAACTTTTTTATGTGGCCGGGGGAATGGGCTAACATTTTCTTGGTTGGCTGTTTGTTCTCACAAATTTGATATGAAAAACATACTATAAAAATTGTTTGCTGGGTGACCCCCCTCCTCCAGAGCTCCAAAATCCTCAAAATCCTCATTTGGAGCCAGCCTTCGGGAGCCTTAAAATCATACGAGTACCCTCCCCGAGGCTTTTTGAAGACCTTTAATTGGATGGAGGTTATCAAAAATACAAATAAACAACTGCATTGGCAATTATCTATGGTGATGTCAGACGGGGATCTGCCTTTGAACATCGACTCACTTTTGTTATCTTACTTCAAATTAGAACACATAGACAGTATATATACAAATATCGAGTTTGCTGCTTGACATGGGTCCACTTCCAAGCGGCTTTGCAAACAAAAACACTGGAAGAACCATTTTGAACAAAGGATTCGGGCCCTTCAAAAATGAATTCTCAGAAAACATGTTTAAGAGAACAACATACTATGAATATAAACATATATAAACACCAGAAATTAGCAAAAAAAAACATGTTACCTGGAAAAATGGGGCCCCGGGGCCGTTGCTTGTGCTCTTTCTGGGGAAAAATCCAGGTGGTCATGGGCCATTTCTCTGGTCCCAACTTTTGGCAAAACGACCCGCAAAACGCCATCCTGGCTATCCCCAGTGCTCCAATGATCGGTTGCATTTCAGTTACCCTCTGGTTATGACACACAGAGCCATGGAAAATCCCTTATAAATGGAGGTTTTAATGGGAAAATAATCTATTTCCATGTGCCATTTTCCATGGCTATGTTAAATAACCAGAGGGTACAAGTTAAACCCATTGGGTTTTGCGACCTTGTGGTTGAAAAACTACTAGCGTGCTTCACCACCATCTGTCTCATCTGGGATTTTGTGAAAATTTTAATTCGTCTTAATGAAATCATGCTCGAAACATGTCGAAACAATCATTGGTGGCTGCATCAACTAACCTCTGGTACTTTAACATAACCATGGAGAAAACAGCAGTTTTCATATATAACTAAATCACTGAACTAAATGGGCCATGTTCCACAGCTATCTGAAATAACCAAAAGGTAAATGGTGAATTTATGAAAAAATCCCTATGACGTCAACATCTACAAACTAGCCTCTGGGACCTGCAGGACCTGGTTGATCCATGGTCAGCCCCTGGTGAACTAGTATGGGAATGAATAGTTACCTTAGTATGGGAGTAACCCATACATAATATCCCATAATAATGGTGGTTAATGGTGATGAATGGTGATATAATGTCAACCCCGGAACCCTCTGGTTATGACATTCACAGTTTGCCATGGAAAAGCACCATGCTATCAATAGGTAAACCATCTATTTCTATGGGCCATTTTCCATGGCTATGTTAAATAACCAGAGGGTATAAACCATGGTTTATTAATTAAGGGTGCTATTTCCCCAGTCATGATTTGATATACTTAAATGGTACCCTCCCAATCAAACAGCCTAGAGGTTTATTAATCCAGGGTTGACATTACCAGGTTTTAAACAAGTCATAGTTGATAATGTGTCATATCATATCAGGCAATAACATCAGTCCCCTTTGGAGGGTATATACATGTACCGGATACCACATCTTCAGATACACAAAAAAACATTTGGTATCATGGTATCCCATGATTCTCTGTGTTTCTCTGCAACTCTGTCGATGACCTTGGCAGCTTGCGACTTGGCGCTACCTGCAGCATCTGGCAAAGTGATGCCGCAATTCGGAATCGCGCTCAGTTGGTTTAGTTCACTGGGCTACTTTGGGTTTATGGTAGTCAAATAACCAGTTCGTCAAATGGGATTGTACACCAACAAACATAACTGCGGTCGGGGGGGCTTAGCCTAGAGTATCATGATAGGTATATCGAACTAGTTGATGGGGTAAAACGAAACCAACAAACATAACCGGGGGGCATCAACTTGTGGGGCACAATTTGCTTAAGCAGGAACCTCAGCAAAATAAAAAAGTCCCTATATAGATTCCCCAAGTAATGGATTTACCTTTGGGAAAATAAACCATCATCTCCAGCACAATGGATAACCTTATCTGGTTGGTGGTTGACCTACCCCTGTGAAAAATATGACAACTCGTCAATGGGAAGGATGACATCCCATATAATCCCATATATTATGGAAAATAAAATTCATGTTTGAAACCACCAACCAGATGAGGTAAACCCAAATCATAATGTAACCTTAAATACTGTGCTTACTGCTAGGAGGACACAACTCCCAGTCCCAGCGACCTCCAGTTGTTGAGGCAATCCGCGACTTCGGAGCGGCCAGGGCCTGCGGCCAAATGGAGAAATTCCTACATGAACATGACGAAATATGTATTTATATGTATAATCACAGTATATTAACATGTATGCGCACATGAACATGTTCAAAACAATGTACACACATATATATATATATATATAATTCAGTATATATATATATATATGATTGTTTTAATATACATACATACTCATATATGTACATGCATCTGGTTTCACAAAATATGTTGATGTTACATGCGTGTCACTTTTGTGGCCACGTCGGAAGGAACAACTTTGATTGGACCGTCTGCAAGATCTTTATCATTTTGGTAACCCTGCGGTTTGTTGGAAAAAGGATGAGAAAGGATAAATCTATGTACCCTCTGGAAAACTTACAAAAAGCTATTGAACATGGCCATTTATAGTGGATTTTCCCAAAAACTGTGATTTTCCATAGTTTTTTGTATGTTGACCAAGAGTGTAAAGTAAAAGATTTCAGTAACTTAGAGTAAGGACATTTAGGGATGCCGCAATGATGCCCCACATTCACCATCATTCTGCGGTCACAGTGAGGTTCTTAGAATTAAACGTAAAAATTCTTACCACTACTGAAACATTGGGTTTTTCCCAGCGGTGAGATTCCCAAACATTTAGTGCCCACATTACTATATACCCTCTGGTAATCTAACATAGCTATTGAAAATAACCATTTCTAGTTGATTTGCCCATTAAACATGGTGATTTTCAATAGCTATGTTAATTTACCAGAGGGTAAGTTCAATGCTTCATTTTTTTTTTATAACATCCCATGCCATCGTGGTGTTCAATGCGTGTACCCCATTCCACTGGTTCATCATTTTCCCTCGTGGAGCCATAAAAATATCCCACTAATCTCCACATAAACTGCTTCCCTGTATATCCAAATACTTTCTTAGGAAATATTTGGTGTACAGGAAGTGTTTGGATCCTCAATTTTTGTCATTTTACACCTCGTTGTAATACACATTCCATCACAGAATCACATCCCATTCTCATCCCATATAAACACATATAAACACACAGCATGAACCATATTTTTTACTGGTGAAATTCACCATTAGTGGTAGCCAGCTTCAAATCCACACACGCTTTGGCAAAGGATAATACCACACGTTCAGACACCCGAATTTGATATCAAGTTAGTAAGATACAATTCATATATATATATATATAATGTAAACAAAAAACTATGCATACACACACATACATTACATTACATTACACTACATGATATCACATCACATTACATTGCATTACCTTGAATTACACTACGTTACACTACATTACACTACGTTACACTACATTACACTACATTACACTACATTACACTACATTACATTACACTACATTACACTACGTTACGCTACATTACACTACATTACACTACATTACACTACATTACATTACACTACATGATATCACATCACATTACATTGCATTACCTTGAATTACACTACGTTACACTACATTACACTACATTACACTACATTACACTACATTACACCACATTACATTACATTACATAATTAAAAATAATCGAATATTATATATATATATAGCGCTATATATATATAAATAGGTATATGTATGTATAATAATCACACCTCCCACTAACCCCCTGTTAAAACCATCGCCTTCAACGCCGGCACCTGCTTCGCCGCCGGCGTCGCCGCCGGCTTCGCCGCCGGCTTGGCCGGCTTGGCCGGCTTGGCATCGACCGGCGCGGGCGGTGAAGCGGGCGGTGAAGCGCTGGCAGGTGGCCTGCGAAGGAGGTTCATTGTTTTATAATAAAAACCATAGAACTAATGGGATTTAAATAGGATTTAACGGGGTTTGAATTGGATTTAATTGGATGTAATTGTGTTTTAACCCCATGAATACTATCGTTGTAAGATGCTACCAGTAGGACCGCACAAGGCGATGGCGGAAGTTTCAAAGGTAGGAAACCTATAGGAGAGGTGAGTTATTGTGATTCATGGATGGCAGACCGAACTGCTGGCAGAGCGAACTGCTCTCTCTCTCTCTCTCTCAAACTATCTTTCTACTTACCTACCTATCTATCTATATATCCATCTATCTATCAATCGATCGATCGACCTATCAATCTATCTATCTATCGGTCGATCTATCTGACCATTTGTTTATACTTCTATCTTTCTGTCTATCTACCCATCTACTTATCTATCTACTTATCTATCTGTCTATCTATCTATCTATCTATCCAATCGATCTAATCGATCTAATCTTTCTATCTATCTATTGTAAGTGGTTAAGCAGTTAAGAGCCAATGCTATATTATTCTGCGATATATCGCACCTCTTACTGGAAATAATTGTCCTATATGTTCGTAACTACCAATAGTAGATGGTTTGCACATCCAAGTATTGATCTGGATAGTTCTAGAATCAGAAATTACGAGTTTGATTCAAGGCCACTGGGAAGCCAAATACCGTACCATCCCCCAAAATGTCGAAACTCCCCCATGAAATAGGGCTAGGGTCTCTAGAAGTTTGGGGGACAAGTCTTTCCTCCAAGTTGGTGATCCTGTGAACTGTTGGGTTTGGGGTCAAGGCGGGTCAAGGTCAAATCCCAAATTTTCATAGTAATCTGGTTGGTGGTTTCAACCCCCCTGAAAAATACTAGTCAGATTGGATCATCATCCCAACTATTGGGGAAAATAAAAGATGTTCCAAGCCATTGGGGAAAATAAAAGATGTTCCAAACCACCAACCAGTAATATAGAACTCTCTAGGGTAGTTTGACAGTTTGCGATGGAGAATCCCTTGTTTTTTTAAAAGCTAGGTCATCAAGTGAAATGGGCCATCGCTTCCATTTCGCTTAGGGGATAGAAATCACTGGCTGGGATGCTATACCAGGCTATAAGTCGATACATCACCGTGTGAAACACCACCAGTTGTATATGGAAATATATGAAATATCCATGAAGTTACATAGTTCGATCTTCATATAGATTAGTTGCTCAGCTTAACTTTTTTCTTTGAAACTCTGATTGTGGCGAAGTGCAGTGCGCCCTGGCTCCCACTTCAGGAATATCTCCAGTTGTTGCCTTTACATTCTTTTATGTTGTGATATATACAGTATATATATATACGGATTTGCTTAGGGAAACTTTTGTGAAACTGTGAGACCAAACGGCCCCGGCAAACAGCCGGCTGCCATCTCAGATGCGCCTTTAGATCTGGAAGAGGAAACCCTGTCCGTATTGGCCCGGGCTATAGCACACCCACACTGCGACGCCGTGAGACACGAACATCTGTCCTTCAAATTCCATGACAAGCAGTGGCGGAGGAGAAGGTACAGTTGGCAAGTCCAACTGTGTGCAGGGCTAATCTTGGAGAGCCACCAAAAAAACAGCTGTGGCCCGTCAAGGCCGACCGCGGACAGTCAGCCGGACCAGCTAAGCGTGAAAACGGCTAATGGTCAGGTGGTGCTGGCAAAAAGAAAGGCAAAATAAGAGCAAGAATGGTCGGGAACTTTTTAAATTTCTAAACACAAATAAACACATGTAGAATGCCTTTCTTGATTCCCCAAGTAATGGAATCCATCCATGGAATATAGATAATAATGCAACATACTTGGTTAGTAAGTGGGTTATAACAGGATAAGGATTTAAGACGCAATTTATTGATTTTACAAGGTGGGGCCACCAATTATGTAAGTTGCTTTTTAAACGCCATTAGCATCCATTAACTATCGTTATATATCGTTATAAGTATCACAAACCATAGTTAAACTATTGTGTTATTGGAGTTTTGTTCACCAACTTAGCTATCGTCGGGCGGCCCCACTTTGTAGATTTTGACTGGGCATTTTGATGAGCAAAGCAGTAGTAAACCACCAGCCTTTTACCATTTTTATGGCTTGTACAAACCATCAAAATATGGGTGGTTTATCGCGTTACTCGAAAATTAACCCGCCCATAAATGCCCATGATTATCCCACTAGTATCCCATTAAGATCCTACTGATCATCGCAGTTTTATTGGGTTTACCCCAGTAGCGCCTGGCGGGTTTCGCTGCTTTCACTTTCGCTTTCACCGCTTTCACCTGTGGAGGTCGAGACGCCATGATGGCGACATGGGAAATCCAAGGAGAAAATGATGGTTTTGATGGGAAGATCAACGAACTAAATGAGAGATTACATGGGAAATAATGGTATATATTTATATAATGTTAATAAAAATACTATATTATATGACCTATGCGGATTTGAATTTAGGAAAGACTAAGAGTTTGCTATGATATAGATGGCCCTTCTGAATAGTCCCATCATTCACCGCTTGTGAAAACGGCGATTGTCCATTGCAAACTGTTCAATTACCAGAGGTTACCCCGGAAAGTTTTTACGGGGCTTGAGATTCGGACTTTCTGACGGGTACCGTACAGACTAGCTCTCTCTTGCCCTCGCTGTATGTATAAAAATAAGTATGATAATAATAGTGACAATAGTAATACTAGCAGTATACACATGTACATGTAATCCATGGAATTATCACTTTAGGAACTCTATATCTATTTGGCTAATCTAGAATGATCCCTAAACCATATGGCCATGTTGTATTTCAACATTAAGGTGGATTCGATTATGAAACATTAGATTTATGAAACATTAATTCAAACACATACGCATGTAGAGAAAAGCAGGGAAAAAACACACACACACAATGTGGGGCCCCCAAGCGGTACCTAAGTTGGTGAACATAACTCCAATTTCATTGTGGTTTATGATATTTGTAACATTTTATAACCATACAGCCATTTAATGGGCTTTATAAACCAACTTAGCCATGACTGGAGGGCCCCACATTGCAACTACTTGTAGCATCCAGGGCGGCACCTCCATGTCTCTTGGGCCCTCGCTTCCAGTTGCCTCCTTCAGTTGCGGCTGAAATGGATCTCAGAATCACCAGGTCAAAATATTGGGGTACTCTCTGGTAAACTAACATGGCTATGGAAAATCAACATGTTTAATGGGTAGTTCACAGCTATAAATGGCAATTTTCAATAGCTATGTAACAAATGACCAGAGGGTAAAATGTTCGAAGAATTCATCCATTGATGATCAGTTTCATCATGATTATCCATTGGGATCCCCATATTGTCGAGGCCCGGAAGCCTAGATCCATGGTCATTTGACGGCCTTGGGGCTGCATCCCAGTTTGTACTTCGGTTAAAGTTAATTATACCCCCAGATATATTTACATATGGGATGAAATATGGGTGATATAAGTTTTATATGGATTGTAAACCATGGACCTAAGTGGGAGGCACATCCAAGTAGGGAAAACTGATTATAAACATTGATAAAGCCTGGATTTTGGGGATATCCTATTCTCAGACCCCTGTATCTTCTCAGAAGCGATTGAACATATCCTTTGGGGGTTAGGTACCTAATGAGGATGTTTTTTGGATCCTTTTTGGGAGGATGAAATCATCTATGTTTGGAGAAATCTAAAACAATTGACGCGTAAACGAACACCTAAACACTCAAAGCACCCATGAAATGGCTTCAAGCACCATAATAGACACAATATTCCGGGTAAAGTACCTAATCTCGACATAGTCAATCTTAGATACTTTTTGCAGGTTCTTTTTTTTTGAGCTGTTATTACTGGATATACCCCCGGTAATCAGCTCCACGGCTGGAAAATCCATGATTTCGTTCGATGATCTTCCCAGCTAGCCCTCGGGGGTGCAGCTGAGCTTACCTTTATTGGTATAATCATGGTTGTCAAGGCCATAAGTTGGGTCCCATGTGGCCCCTATAACTAGTTATTTATATATCCACTTTTGTTGCTGGAACTGCACTTCCAATGCCTCCATGTGTGTTATATATATATATTTATGAATATGATTGGTTACAAACATATGTAGTATATTAGTAGTGTGAAAATATAAATATATAGTATATCAATAGTGTGTATATACAGTATATAGAATATATTCATAGCAAATATATTGTGTATATAGATATATACACATATATGTATATACATATAGTTATAGATATAGATATATATATATATACATATATATATACATACATATATATATATATCGCTAGTATATAAACAGTAAATATAATATATATATATATATTTATAATTGTACTATTTATATCTATCTATATACTATATTAATAGTGTAATTATACATAGTATAAGCATACACTGCATATATACACTATCTCTTTATATACACTATATATTTTTATAATAAGGATATTGCATATATATATATATAAATAGTCTATGATATGTATATATATATACTTATATGTATAGAATATAGAAAATATCAAGTTTATAAATAATATATATATATTTATCTCATAGTAAGTATAGATATAGTATATATATAAATAGTATACATGTAATATATATATACATTTATAATATTTTAAATAATACGAATAAATACAATAAATAAAGAGTTCATATATCGTATAAAGATACATATAATGCATATTTAGTGTATATATACCTAGTGTTTATTTATAAAGTGTATATATATATATAGTGTGTATACATGTGTATATATATATATATATTGTATATATATATGTATATGGTGTATATATATACACACTAAATATAGTGTATACATATACATTCTAAATATAGCGTGTATACATATAGTGTGTATATATATAGTGTAAATATATAGTATAATATATACTGTATATATGTATATATATATATACTGTATATATGTATATATATACTGTATATATGTATATATATACTGTATATATGTATATATATACTGTATATATGTATATATATATAGTGTATATATATATATATTTATTTATTTATTTATTTATAAAACCACTGTGTATATATATAGTGTGTATATGAATATATTTATATATAGTGTATTTATAGTATATAAATAATATTATATATATATATGTGTATATCATATGTATGTATGACCCACTATACAAGTACTAAGTAGAATGAAATAACTGAAACAACGAGGACTGTTTTTCCTCATGTTTCTTCCCTGAGGATTGATATGGGTTTGCAGGAGATGCTGGCTAGATCTGGCTACCACGATTTTGTAAGACCTGAATCATTTGTCGGCAGTGTCAAAACTCATTCCGTGGAAATTGGTAGGTTGCCACAGTCAGTCTTGATCGAAACTTCCCAGGTGTGGCAACATACCTATATAAACAATGTCCAACCAACACAAGAACCCTGAGCCCCTAGCCGAAATCATGACTATGTCGGACATAGACTATGTCGTCCAACTCCAGCCGGCTTGCGAGTGGAAGCTTCTGTTCCATGGTGCACAACATAGAGGTGCCCCTAGCTGTTGTATCTAACATGGGCTTGTTTTCAAAGGAGTGTGCTAAATTGCTAAAGAAATGTCACCAGAGATCTGCACTGGCCACTAGTACAGGAACGATCAGTGACCGCCCAATACTTGTTTTCCTGCAAAAGAAATCCATCTCTCTTGTAGGTGAATTTGGTTGAAAACTGATTCAATTCGACCAACATTAAAAATTGCATAAGTATGTATATAATAAAACAAATAAATAAATATATATATATATTTATACATATAATTTATACATACACACATTCATACATTCATACATCTATAAGGTTCCGTCCTGATTTGTGTATCCCCCCTCTCACACGAATGCTGTACCCTCCTGAAAGTTGAGTTTTGAAAGTTGTTCCCCAGATAAAACGCGATCATACATTTCAGTAAGGATTTTAACTAATTGGCAACAATTGAACAAATCTAATTAAAACTCTTTTTGCCAGTGAACTTGTAGTACTTGAAGTACTTGTAGTACTTGAAGTACCTGTAGTACTTGTACCACTTGTAGTACTTGTAGCACTTGTAGTACTTGTAGTGAATGGGGGTTCAGCATGTTGATTGTGTTACCTTTTGCACCTCAAGTTGTTTTTTAAAGGTGTAATAAGAGAATGATGAAGAGAAAGAGAAAGAGAGAAAGAGAGGAGAAAGATAATGAAAGATATACAGAGAGAAAAATGAAGAGGAAAAGGGAGAGGAAAAGGAAGAGGAAAAGAAAAATATAGAGAAAGAGATATAGAGAGAAAAATGAAGAGGAGAAAGAAGAGAAAGAGAAAAGAGAAAGAGTTAGAGAAAGAGAAACAGAAAGAGGAAGAGGAAGAGAAAGAAGAAGATGAAGAGAAAGAGAAGGTTGCTTTTAAAAAAAATGCGTGTCTTTCTTCTCTTGGCTTCAGTGATCACCTCCGGAAAAGAAGTTCAATTGTGAACCTGGGCAACAAAACTACTAAAGCGAACTGGACCCTCTCATGGTCCAGTGCCTTTGAAATTTGCGGAAACACTGTTCTTTAAGAAGGGTTTAATAAGCAAAATAGAGATAGTTTTTTCCAGAAAAACATGTTAATATTCTTTCCACACAAACATTTTGTGTTGTAACCAAGACTGGCCTGCCAAAAAGTCTTACCACAATAGTGAAACTTCCAATCTGATCATGGGTTCTGAATAATTTGGATATGTCTGCCACAATAGCAAACCTAGCTACTAATCAGGATGCAACATTTATATATACATATGTATTCATATATATTTATATATATTTATATACGTATATAGTGTATATATATATAGTATATATATAGTATATATATATAATATACATATGCATTATGAATTTATGAGCATCTTCTCACATTGGTCGATAGCTATTGCGCTCCCAACCTATCTTTGGATCAGATCTACAGGGTACGTCAGGGTACCATATGACCATGGATAGCTGCCAGGCAAGACACACAATCACATCCATGGATTTTGGTGGTAAATTTTGGTAAATTCAACTATTAAACACTATTTAAATATTGGTTTCAATATTGAACATGATGGTTAAACATGAGAAAAAACCACGATTTCAACCCATGTTGCTTGAATAATTTAGGGATTTTAATACGATACTTCAACACTATTTAAGAATATTTAATATAGATATATGGAAACCATGATCCATTGATGGTTTACCTGATAAAGACATGGTGATTTTCCGTCGATCCCAAAACGCTGGGTTGTCAGCTCCATTTCTGAAAAAAAAAATCATCGAACGGAGGGAAAATCATGGAAAAATGGAGAGATTCATGGACAATCATAGGAAAATGGGAAAATCATGGGAAAATCATCGGAAAATATGGGAAACTGAGAAAACATGGGACATTCCCTGTCATAAATGGAGGTTTACGTCTCGCTGGGAAAACATCGAACTAAACTCTGGGAATTTCCCAGGTGTGGGCCGTGTGGGGATGTCAAAAAAACCCAGTGTTCACACGAGAATTTCACTGGCTGTCTGAAAATGGAGGATCAATCCCCAGAAAACGGTGAAATTCAATCAGCCATTGTACTTCTGGGGATAAAAAATAAAGATATTCATGGGATATCTGGTTGGTGGTTGACCTACCCCTCTGAAAAATATGAGTTCGTCAGTTGGGATGATGACATTCCCAACTGAATGGAAAAATCAAAAATGTTCCAAACCACCAACCAGGATATACCCTCGAGGGAACAAACATAGCCATGGAAAATGACCCTCTGACTTAGATGATTTACCTATTAAAATGGCGATGTTCCATAGCGATGTTCGTTTACCCAACAAAACATATGTGGTTGCTTGAAAATAAACGTTACTCCAGTAAACCTGCGATGAACTCATAGTCCCTACAATGAAAACCGGAGTGGCATGACTCACAGAAGTGGCATGATGCATCCCCGAGCGAAATCGTTACACCCATGTATACATACATCTAAAATAATAAGATAAGTGAGGACATTTGGGGATGATTCCCCGAATCGAAACATCCTTCCAGTGAGGTC